TCCTCCGCTCCCCCCGCGGCGGTGCGGTGCGGCTCTGCCCGGTGCGGCGCGGCGCGGTGCTGTCCGGTCCTTCTCGGTGCGGCGCCGCCCGGCTCGGCCCGGCCCGGCCCGGCTCATCCCGTTCTGCCCCGTCCCGTCCCGCCCCCGTCCCGCCGAAGTTCCCCGCAAGTTGCCCGCCCCGCCCGGTGCCGCCCCGCCCGCCGCCTCCCGCCGCCTTCCGCTCACCGGATCCGGTGCGGTGCGGTGCGGTGCGGGCCGGGGCGCTGCCGGCGGAACGCGCTCCTCCTCCCGCCGCCTCCTCCTCCTCCTCCCGCCGCTCCCCGCCCCCCGGCCCGGGGCGGGCGCTGCCCGAAGCGCCGCGGGCTGCCCCCGGGGGTCCCACGCGCGTTCCTCCCTCTCCTCCCCGCGCGTGGCCCCGCTCGGTTCGCTCCCGGGTCTGAGCGCTGCCGGGACTCAAGGATCGAGGAGCAGCTCCCGCCCAGCCCTGCCTGCAGCCCCACATCCATCACTGCGGGCTTTGGGGTGATGGATTCTCATCCCCCTGCTCTGCCGTGGGGATTTTCACCTCCCCGGTGGATTCCTGCCCTCCCCGTGGAACAACAGTGCTGCATTTCGGGGTCCCACCATCCACGGGATGCGGGCCGCCAAAACTCCATTCTCACATTTTCTCGGGGGTGTTTTCCCCGGGTATTTCCCACTCAGCTGGAAGGTTTCCAGCCAAGAGCTCTGAACCCCACAAGCATCCCCGCTCACCCATTTCCCACGGGCGATGCTGGCACCCAGCGTGGGGCGAGCGGTGAGCTTCAATTCCCAGCAGCACCGCTCTGCCTGCGCACATCCCGGCCCCTTCCCTCCAACCCCGGTGTTTTTCCATTGGAAAGAACCACCCGGCGCCAGGGAAGGGGCTCTCCCCCTCTCCTTCCCTCGGAGCCGAACGATTTTGCAGGCGGTCCGGAGGAGCAGCCCTGCTGGCACCGAAAGGAGCCTAGGAATGCTGCTGTTGCTGGGGTTGTCAATGTGTTTTCGCCGCATCAGATGTGAGTATCTGGGTTTTAGAGGGGAGCAGAAGTTCAGTGAAGAACCCGACGCTGAAGGGGCTGTTTGAGGAAACGGCTGCTGGGAGTGAAAAATTTTGGTGGTTCCCTTCTGCGGATCTGGGTGTTTCTTTGCCAGTCACTTTGCTGGCAGCAGCTCAGGGGTGCCAAGGGCCCGCGGTGGTGTTGTGGGGTCTGCAATCACAGCCTGTCCCAAAATGGGTAATGCCTGGAATTCCCCCGCTAAACCCAGGCCAAAAGGGCTCTGGGGTGGGTCAGCGAGAGGCCGGAGTGGCAGCAGTGCGGCTGAGCCCCAACCAACTCATCCTGTGGAGGGCTGCGTGAAAGAGGCCGAATCCAAAAGTTCCATTGCTTTAATTTGCTTATCTGCTACGAACACTTCCCCTTCTGCTGCACAAACCCACAGCGCACTCAGAGCCACCCCCACAGCATCACGGCAGCTCCTGACACACCGCAGCGCTGCCCGGCTCCCGCAGGTAGGGGCTCCCCGGATGGCCGTGGGGTTCTGTGGGGCAGGAGGGGGCTCAGGGGTTACCTCTCAGCGGGGGCCACGCAGCGATGCTGAGTGCTGGGAGGGCTGGTGCCCCTGCTGGTGGGTGCTGTGGGTGAGCCGCTGCTTTTTGGGGTCGGGGTGGCACTGCAAAGGATGCAAATCTGTTGGGTGCCCTCCACCCTCGCGCTGGGACCGCCTCCTCCTGGGCAGTTCGGGGCCAGGTTGGTGCCAGCACCTGGATGTCACAGGATTTGCATGGCAGGCAGCTGCGGTGGCTGTAGCCCCATCCACAGTGCCCCAAGCGTGGCCCCGGGGCTGTGACTGGGTGTGTGTGGGGCTGGGTGCCTTTTGCAGGATCACAGAGATGCCCACCCTGCTGCTCACTGCTCTCGTCCTCTGCCTCGCTGAGCCTGTCCTGCCCAACCAAGGTGGGGATACATCCTTGTGCTGCTGGTGGGGTGGGATGGGGCTGGGCTGGGGGGAGGTGGGGATTGAAGCTGGGCAGGTGCTGCGGTCGGGGCTCATCTCCCAGAACCCCCCTTGCAGACACCGAATACATCCAGAGCTGCATGCATAACCTGTCAGAGGGGCTGAAACAGGGCAGCTCCCGGCACAACTGGGCCAGGTGAGTGCAGCCCCATCCCTGCTGTTCCCCCATTCCCCCACATCCTACCAACCCCATTCCCCTAGCAGGTTAACAGAGCTGGAGCGGGCGCTGGCCCACAGCACGCTTGGCAAAGAGGAATACAGCTTCAAAACCAACATCCTAGAGGCCTTTGTGTTCAATATCACGGCCGGCAGCTTCCGAGGGCTCAACGTTAGCAGCAACATGGTGGGTACCGCTGTGCCCTTCCCATGGAGTGCTCTTGCATCAGCCTCTACCCGTAACCTCCTGGCACAGGATGTGTCGGGGCCACTTCCCCTCACAGTGCAGAGGGTCCCAAGGCAGCTCCACAGCACTTCCTGCACTGCTGGACCACACTTCCCTGCCCTGAGCTCCTCTCTCCCCAGCCCAGTTCTCCTCTTTGCAAAATGCAGCTAGTGCTGGAGCCAGGACCCTGCTCGGCACCCGGGGCTGGGGATGCTCAGGGGGTTCCCATGAAAGTGTGACCTCTCCTCTGCCCTCATAGCCAGTGCAGAGCAAAGGGCGGGCGTCAGCATGGCTCAGGGGCAGCATCAACTTCCCAGTGGAACTGATGGAGGGCATGGGGGCACAGGAGGAGCAGAAGCTCATCTGTATCCACATCCACAGTGCCAGCTTGTTCCTGGTGAGCGCCGGCAATGAGGGTGCCTGGGGAGAGCCGAGCCCCCCTTGAGCAGCCCCACGTAGATACACTATAGGGCTGCTGTGGGGCCCCATAAGGCATCCTGCTCTGTCTCTCACAGGATGAGCACAACAGCTCTGTGCTGAACGACCACATCCTGGGGGCCTTCCTGCACAACAGGCGGGTGGGCTGGCTGCGGCGCCCCGTGGAGATCCGCTTTGGGCACAACGAGCAGCTGGTGAGCTGAGCTCCACCGTGGCACCACTGGTGAGACGTGGGGTTTCCAGGGAGCAGACTGTTCCCATCTCACTTCTTCCATCCTCCTTCCTATCAGGACAGCTCCAATGCTACCTGTGTCTTCTGGCAGCCCGCAGGCACGGGCAGTGCTGGCACATGGAGCAGGGAGGGCTGCGAGACACAGCACCAGAAGGGCACCGTGCGCTGCCTCTGCAACCACCTCACCTACTTTGCTGTGCTGCTGGTGCGTGGCTCCTGCCCTTCCTCCTCCCACCACATAGGACACCCCATGGCTCACCCCATGTGCACCTCTCTGGACAGATCCAGGCACACAACCTGAGCGAGTCCGAGCTGCAATCTCTCACCTACATCAGCACCGTGGGCTGCTCCATTTCGGCCACTGCTGCCTTCTGCACACTGCTGCTCTGCTGTGTCTTCAGGTAGAGCTGTGCCATGCCATGTGCCATGCTGTGTCATACTATGTCATGCCATATGTTGTGTGCTATGCCATGTGCAGTGCTGCATGACATCACGCCACGCTGCCCACTGTGCCACACCATTCCTTGTGCCGTGCCATACCATGCACAACGCCATGCTGTGCTGCCTGGTGGGCATCCTCTGCACCCCGTGCCCTCTCCCCTCCTGCAGATGCCGGCCGCGGGACGACACGACCAGGATCCACATGAACCTGCTGGCTGCACTGCTCCTGCTCAATACCAGCTTCTTGCTGAGCGAGCCGCTGGCTGCGGGCACCATGGAGGGCTGCCAGGCTGCGGCCGCCCTCCTGCATGGCAGCCTCCTGTGTGCCCTGGGCTGGATGTGGGCTGAGGGCTTCCACCTCTACCTCCTCCTCATCAAGGTCTACAACATCTACGTGCGGCACTACCTCCTCAAGCTCTGCCTCTGCACCTGGGGTGAGTGCCCCCATGGGCTCCCAATGCCCCACTGCCCTTGCCTGGCCTTACGTGGCCTCTCCCTGGCCCCCAGGTCTGCCCACGCTGGCCGTGCTGGCTGTTCTCATCTTCAAGAGAGAAATCTATGGGCACCACATCATCAGCACTGCTGACGGTTACAAGAACATGACCATGTGAGTGTGGGGGCTGCTGGCTCCCCAAGCACACCGTGCACTCTGGGCTCCCCATGGAGCACCCCATGTACTTTGGGTTACCCAGGCACTCCCATGTACCCCACGAACCTTGAGTTTCCCTGTACATCTTAAATCCCCCACGCATCCTGGGCTCCCCATGCACCCCAAGGGCCACATGCATCCGGGTTAGCCATCCATCCCACGCACTTCGGCTTGCCCATGCGCTCCCATGGATTCCAGAAACCTCAGGGTTCCCATGTGCTCCATGCACCCAGCATTGTCCGTGCACTTTGGGTTAGCCACGCACCCCCAGGGATTCCAGAAATCCCATGCACCCTGAGTTTCCCTTGTGCTCCCAGGAACCTCAGGCTTCCCAAGCACCCCATGCACCTTTAATTCCCATCCACCTCAGGGACTTTAGAAACCCCTTGCTCCCTGGGTTCTCCATGCACCTATGCACTTTGGGTTAGCCATGCACTCCCAAGGACTCCACATACCCTGCACACCCCAGGCTGACCAGGGTTAGGACACAGCTGTCTCCCATCCCCATCAGGTGCTGGCTCACCAGCCCGCCCGCCCACTACATGACCCTGTGCTATGCTGGCCTCATCCTGCTGTTCAACGTGCTGGTGCTGGTGGCCGTGGTGGTGGTGCTGTGGAAGACACGGCAGCAGCAGCGGAGGGCGAGGAGGGACTGGGTGACGGTGCTGGGGCTCACCTGCCTGCTGGGCACCACCTGGGGCACGGCCTTCTGTGCCTTTGGAGTGCTCCTCGTGCCCCAGCTCTACCTCTTCACCGTCCTCAACTCCCTGCAAGGTCAGCACCCGGGTGGGATTTTGGAGGGGGGGGGGGGTTCCCTCGTCCTCCCGGCGTGGCACTGAGGTGCCCGTGGCATTAACTGTGTCACCCCCCAGGTGTGTTCCTCTGCCTTTGGTACCTCAGCACGCATCGCAGCAAGCGCAGCACATCCGACTGCAGTGCCTCCAGATAGCGGGGCTGCGGGATTGGCCTCGGTATTTAGCGTTAATTAAAGTGGCGTCCGGTGATGGAGGCGGCGAGGAGCCGCCAGAGGGCACCAGGGCAATGGGCTGCAGTGTGGTACATGGGAAACGGGTTTTCCTCCCATACAAAAGCAAACGCGGAACAGAGCTCCATGGTACGAACAAGACTTTTGATGGAATCATAGCCGCTGTAGGATCGCCGAATCCAACCGCTGACCCACCCCCTAACCCCGTCCCTAAATAGAATCGCAGAATCATGAAGGGTGGAAGAGACCTCTAAGTCCGGCGCCACCCCATCACCCTTAGGGGGGTTCCAGCAGCCCAGCCTGCAGCAGGCACACAGCGAGGAGAAACTGTGGGGGCAGGAAACGTGGCTGCAGATGGTGATGGCAAAGCGGCAGCCCGAATCGGCCCCACTTTGCCTCTCTGCACCCAGGACTTTGGAGCCAGGTTGTGGGGACAGGTATCACATTGCGGGGTCCTCCCCATGCAGGGCACGGTGGCACAGCTCCAGCTCTTCCCATACCACTCCTCTGAGTGTTTTTCCCTTTCTGGCTGCTTTGTGGGACCTATTTCTGGGAACAGAGCAAAGGAAGCCGCTCGCCCTTGTGCTTTGTTCTGCGCACAAAGGAAATTCGCTGCTGAGTTTCCACCCGTCCCGCTCACATCGAGGACAAAAGCCGTCCTGCTGCAGCTCCGCGGCGATGAGCTGGGCATGGCTCAGCACTTTGTCATCATTTGGGACTTGACAAAGCTTGGTGGGACGCCAAGAGCTGGCGGGCAGCAAGCAAACCCCATGGTGAGCATCACCTTCCTGGCCCCGCACCCCAGGCATGAATCATGACCGTGCCAGTAGCTGCGTCTGCACCGACACCGGTGCGTTCCTACGCCTGTTCCTGTATCCAGCAGTGCCTGGAAAACCCTCATCATACCCTCATCATACTCTCACTATATCCCACCATGTCCTGGGGCTGCAGGGCCATGGTGCAGTGTGACACACCCTGAAGTGCCTGGAACTCAGAGGACACCCAGCCATCCCCATGCTGTGCTGGATGGCGATGAGAACTGAAGCCCAGCCCGTCTCACCTCCTCAAGGAGAGCCAGCCCTATTTATCTTTCCCACAGCCTTATCGTGTGTATTTTCTCAGCACGCAGGCATTCAGCTCCCAGGTTGTGTTGGGATCACCGGGCTGGGCGGTGGCTGGGATGAGGATGCAGGTTTGCAGCCCGGGGTGCACACAGGGGTTCTGCAGGGCTGGGACCTCAGACCTGCCCAGAGCTCAGCCCCATGCAGTGCCTCTGGGCACCGGGTGGAATCCACAGGGTCTCCATCCACAGAGGTTCCCAAGACTCAAACTGCCCAGCTCGAGCTGTAAATTCTTATCAGGGCCAGGGAGTGTTGCTGGCTGGAGCCCAAGGGCAAATTTCCCCCGCAGGGACAACTGTGAGGATTTCCTCCCCCAGTGCTCCACGAGGATCTCTGAAGGCAGCAGCGAGCCCTGCTGACTTCCACATCATCCGATAACATCAACAAGTGCAGACATCAGCCCAAAAATAACTCTACCGACCTCCTGATAACGCCCTGGTGTGGACAGAAGCCTTTTTGTTCGGGACAGCAGCAAGAGGACAGCCCGAGGTGTCACTTCCCTATAGAAGCTGTGACCCCGGGTCGGGGGGGCAGCACAGGGGGCTGCATCCTGCACCAGGGGATGGGAGCAGGGGGAGAGGAGTGGGGCTGGGGAGATGCGGGTGCAAGGGGATGGCTGCCCTGAAAGGAGCCGTGCTGGCTGCGGTGCGGCCGCGTGATGCAGCGTGTGCCAGCCCCGGGAGAGCTGAACAAAGGGGCCACAGCTCATGGGTGATGTGAGCGGAGCACGAGGTGCTGGGCTGGGACCCTCCAAGGCACAGCAAGCACCGTTTTCATTCCATTCCCATCCCTGTTTCCATTCCATTCCCATCCCTGCTCCCGGTGTGGCTATGGCACCTTGTGTTTGTTGGCTGCCTTTTGTCCCCGTGCCGCCGCGTCCGCCCTTCCCCCAGCAGCATGAAAAAGAAGAAAAGTCCCATTCAATCCTTTGGGAATATCCTTGAGAGGCTGCGTATTTACGCTTCCTGGCCACCTCCCCGCCATCTCCTTGGAGCCCGGCTCTCCCTTTCAGTGCACACAAAGGGCTGCCTGGGCTGGAACCTGGCCACGCTCCCTTAGCTCCGCAGGCACCGCGCTGCCGTCGGGGCTCGGGGACCCCACATTTCATAGGGTGCAGGGCACAGGGAGCACCGCGCTCAGGACCCACTGCCCGCATCCTCGTTTCCTGCCCCAGAGCAGGACACGCTTCTTAGGACGCCGCGTCCCGGCCGCTCTCACATCGGCTGTTATTCTTTAATCCCTTTCCCAGCCGGGCGTGCAGCCTGGCAGCCGTACAATTCCTTTCCTCCTCTGGCCGCCCGCCAGCCCCAGCTCCCGGGCGCGCTCCCCCCGCCCCACCGCCGTCCCTCTGCCGATCCCCGGCCCGAAGGGGCGACACCGCCCGCCCTCCCCTCCAAGCCCGGCTCCATCGCACGAGCAGGTGCCGCGACAGAGGGGTCCCGGCAGGCTCCCACCCCCGCTGAGTCACCGCCTGCCCCGGGGGTGGGGTGGGAGCGTAGGCGGAGCGGGGGAGTGCCGAGCCGAGCCGAGCCGAGCCGGGCACAGAGCTCCGTCGAACCGAGCAGCGCCGAGCGGCGTCGGGACGGCGCGCCCCGCCCGACCCCGGCACAGGTAGCCGGGTACTGGGAGCGGCGGCGGAGGTGCGGAGGTGAGGCCGGGGCTGCGCGATGCCTGGGGAGCGGGGGGATGCTGCGGGCTCTGCGCTGGGATTCGGCCCCCGGCAGCGGGCGCGGTGCGGGAGTTCCTTGCCTATTGCTTTGTGGCTCAGCGCAAGGTGTAACGCCTCTGTCCGTGCAGGGAATGGGGCTCCCCGGGGTCTTCCTGCGCGCAGCCTCCGTCCCTACGGGCTCTTCTCCCTTTTCCTCTCTAAATCGGGCTCCGTACCCGCAGCCGGGCTGGATTCCAGGGCCGTGGAGCCGCCTCGCGGGGCAGCTGCTTGCGGCTGCTGCCTCGGCACAGCTGAGCCCTGCCAAGGCCGCACCGCTCTGCCGTGCCGTGCCGTGCCGTGCCATTCTGCGCTGTTCCACGCCATGCCATGCCGTTCTGTGCCATGCTGTGCTGTTCCATTCTACACCATTCCACTCCATGCTGCTCCATTCTGTGCCTTTCCACCCCGTTCCATTCCATGCCGTGGCACCCAACGCGTGTGGCTCCCCAACCCGGGAGTCCAGGAGCACACCCGACTCAGTTCAGGCTCGGGAGCAGCCGGCGTGTCTCGACAGAGTGCTCTCCCACCCCGATGCCCGCCGGGGGATTCCTCGTGCAGCCGTGCGCCTGCTGCTGCCGGTCCCGGCACGCTGCTCCCGGTGCTCCACAAGGGATGGGGCACAGAGCCGCAGTGGGAAAACAGAATGAAATCTCCTGGAATAACCCCCTGGCAGCATGACTGCGGGCAGGGCTGCCTGCCAAGGTGGATTTCACGGTCTGGTGGGTGCAGAAGCCTGCTACCACCAGCAGGGAGCCAGGGGGGCTTTGTGATGCTCGGATTTGGGGCACAAACCAGGCTTTGGGCAATCCCATCTGCACGGTGCCGCCCCGCGGTGGGTTCGCCGCTCCCATGGGAATGAAGCCCCGACCCTATAAACGCCACATAGTTGGTCACCATCCAGCTCTTAATCCCGCAGCCCGCCCCTGGTGCTATTCGTAGAGCAACAGGTTCACAAACAACTGCACACTGCTGGGACACGGCACCCCGGGGCTGAGCACTGCGCACCTTTCTGGGGTCACCCACGGGTGTTGCAGGGATGTGGTGGAGCTGCTGTGTGCCAGCTGGCCGGTGCCGAGCCGCCAACTCCTTTCCCATCAGCTCACAGACAGCTGGGCCTTGGCAGGGAGCGGGGCTCTGCTATGCAGCGCTGGTACCCGGCTCTGCAGCAGGGAGCTGAGAAACTTTGGTGAGGCGGGGAGCAGCCCTCATCACACATCGGAGTGTGCCTCGCATTGCATTCACCCCTTTCTTTTTGTGGTTGAGAAACTGGAAATCCCACCCTTCACACCAGCGCTGCCCCTCCTGCATTGGTCGATTTGGGTTCTGAGAACGCTCGCTGCATTTTGGGGCTGTGGTGACCCGTGGCCCCATGTGTTCTCATGGGCTCTGCAGCCGTCCTGGTGGCCGAGGGCGCATGCCTGACGCCCGCTGGTGACGGGAAGGGGCTGACGTGCCGACGCCGTGAGCAATGTGTGGGCTGCCCACGGGCTGCAGGCCAAGGACAAGGGCGCATTGTGAAGGCAGACCCGCTCCCCGTGCATGGCTCCGCTCCAGGCCATGTCTCTGTGCCTCAGTTTCCCCACCCACCCCCCAAACCGGACCTCCTGCCTCATGGGTGACGGGCTGTGGGCAAAGAGCTGTGCCCCCCATTAGCATCTCTGTAGTGCTAAGGAGCCTGAAAGCAAAGCCAACGAAAGTCTCCTCATCAACACGTTTCCAGTGTTTGTTGGAGCGTGAGTGCATCTTTCCTTCTCGGGGAAAACATCGTGCAAAGCCCACCTGCCATCCCCGTCTGGATTGAATGCCTGGTGCCCAGTCACCCAGAGCAGGAAGGTTTCTCACCGGGCTCTTGTTTTTTCCAGCTTTAGAGGTCACAGTGTTATTCCTCGGCTTCCCTTTCCGATGAGCGCATTCATTTAATGGTGCTGAGAGAACACAGTGTAACGTCCCCATGCCAGGGGCTGAGCCTTTGGGGAAAAGTGCACCCTGGGCCAACAGGAGGCTGCTGCAAACCCCCCCACCTCCAATGTGGGACAGAACGGCAGCTTTTCTATACGTTCCTGAGGAGCTTTTGGGCTTAGGGTTGGGGAAAGCCTTCCTGTCCCCTTGCTGTGGCTGTCAAAGAGGGATTCCTGGGAATGGGGGCATCGCCAGCTGGGTACCCCAATGCTCCTTGTCCCTGCTGCCCCCAGGTACGTGGGGGTGGCAGTGCTCTGCCCCCCGGACGGGGAGGAGAACAGGCAGTGCCTTTTGTGGGTTGTGTCAGTTTTCTCCCCTCTCGGGAGGTTTTCTCTCGCCATTGTTCAGCTCAGGAAGCAGCAATCAGGCGGGTCGGGCGAGCGGGGGAAACATCACTGCTCACCTCCACTGGGTCCTGGTTGGGCTTTCGGTTTCTGGTTCTGGTTGGGCTCAGGAAGGGCTCAAAGGGACGATCCCTTCTAAACCGTGCCATATGCACACCGGGGACCTCAGTGGGACACTTGTGCCCACAGCAGCGTGCTGAGCTACGGCAGGACTTCAAGCCACAGAAGAGCCTTTCTTTTTATTTTTACCATTCTCACGCACCCAGGATGCTGTCAGCATACCTCTCGTGTCCAGCGTCACGGCAGCGGTCAGAGCCTCAGCCGTGCAGCATAGATTTGTGGCCAGCACTGCCTGTGGGAACCCCTCTGCACAAATGTTGCTGCAGCTCCGCTTTGCACAGCAGCTGCTATCTGCATACCTGGCCGGCTTCGTGTCCCGGTGCAGCCCTCACTGGTGCAGTCCTGGCTGCTGCTGGGGGTTGGGGGAGCTCTTACAAAAAGTGGTCCCA